CGTCATTAAAATTTATATGCTTCCAATGAAGCAGTGATAATTGTTTTTTAAACTGTTCAATATTGTTTATATTATATATGCGTTTACTTATTTTATTATTAGTTTTGGTTTTAATTTTAGAATTTGAGTCGAATGATAGAAATATTGGAAAATAATCAGTTATATCTGCTTTCAATATACCTTTTTGTATATTGTTATTGAAGACATCAGTTGTAATAATGTTATCAATGAGAGTTGCTGAGTTTGCTGATACTCTAGTTGGACGATTAATTAGGGGAATTGCTCCTATTTCAAATATTGAATCATAAATTTTTTTTATTTTACAGTCATTCTCGTAGTTTTTCTTTAATGCCTATTTTGATAACATTTTGCTCAAAAAACGTGCTCAGATTCTCACTCAGACCGTCAGGTGGTCGATAGCTTGCTTAGCGATAGCAGCTTAGTAATACATTTTTAGATTCATTGTTTAAGATTTCAGTAAATAAGAACTCCGCCACCGCGGAGTTCTTATTTACTTGATTAAAGATAATATTCTCTAATTAAAGATAATATATTCCCTAAATAATTGGGAGATTGCTCAAAACTTATATAGTCATAGTTTTTGAACACTAAGAGATTGCATGACATTAAAGACTTGTTAATGAACTTAAATATAGTTTAAAATGTTAAAAAAATGTATATATAAAAGTTATAAAGTTATTGTTCTCACACTAATGCCATGAAAGAAAAGTTAACATTTTAGGAGATTATAGTTAACAGACTCCGATTATAGCAATACTTTTGAAAAAACTTTACATAAACATGAATATATAAATGTTTGGAGTTTGCTCCATGTCGTTACATAAAGTTAAATTCAAAAACAAAAAACTTGCTACGGGCCTGATTTTAAATATGTGATTGGAACCTGGTTGTTTAAATATTGTGATTTGCAACTTTTTTACTTTAAATTTTTGAAAATTTAAAATAAAAAAGTAACAAAAATTTACTCAAAAAAAAAAGAACTTGATGTTATTTCATTACTGTATGATAAAATAACTTCAAGACACTTTTCTTCACAACCCACCATATAATTTTAAATTTGAAAGTGTGCTTTTTGAATCACCCTACTAAATTCGCTATATTAACTAAATTAAAATAAGCAGTTGTTGTGGTTATGAAAAGTTATAAATTTTATTTTAGAGTTTTAAAATTAATTACTTTTACTTTTTTTACTTTAGTTTCTTTGTTTTTTTAATTAATCTTGATGTTATTTACATCATTTATCTAACCAAAATGGAAGATCTTTCTGGAAATGACTAACTGAAATAGTTGTTGTCTGGATAGTCTAATTGAAATTTGTTTATTCCAGACAGCAGTTTTATGAATAGCTAATAATAAATAAACAACAAAAAAAAATAATTTTCATTTCTGTTAGAAATAATTTTCATTTCTGTTACGACAAGGGCCGTCCCGAATGGGGGGTGTAGGTTTTGTCATTGCCCCTTTCCCTAAAGCTGTTATATATGCATTTGAGTTAGCACATTTGTACATTTAGCATTTCAGTTGGCAAGTTTTGAAGTATAGTTGGCAAATGTCAAATATCGAGGACTTTTTGTGTCACTAGTTGGCGAATCGGAACTACACAAATGCTGTCAAGATTAAAGTAAAATCAAAGTAAAGTCTGAAAGATAAAGTTAAATCAAAAAAAAAAAAAGAAATTCAAAAAAGTAGAAAAAAGTAATTCTCCAGTTGGCTCTAAAAACAACTTAAACATGTACGTTTAGGGTGGAATGCAAGAAGCAAACTTGAGTCAAGTTCGACTTGAACTTTACTTTGTAACCAATAGCGGCAAAGTATTTTTTGAAGGGAAAACCCATACTCTGTCGCTATTGGTTGTAATGTAAAGTTCAAGTCGAACTTGACTCAAGTTTGCTTCTTGCATTCCACCCTTATTAAACTTACACAAATGCTGGAAGTTTCAAAGATCTAGCTATACAGGAAGAAGTGAAAAATCAATCGCAAGATTCTGGGACAACTGATAACCGACAAACAACTTGTGAAGTCAAACTAACCTTTGAAAAAAAATTACAAGTTTATTCTAAAGCATTAATTTAATTAGAAAAATTTTTATTTTTCTAATTATCCTTGTTCGGGTTGGACACCAATGCAACAAAAAAGAGGTTATTAGGGTGCCCACAATCTATAGTAGAAGGTTGACCAGCTTTCCTTACCATCTTTTTTCAAATAGATTACATATGGTAAAATGCAAAAAAAGCTCAATCTGCTCATCATTTAATTTCTGCTCAAACAAAAACATTATATTTGATACTTGCTGTGCATTATTAGAATTTAATACATTTCAATAGTTGCTCATAGCAACAGTATGCAGTTTAAATTATTTTTGTTTTGAATACAAAAGTTTTGAAACAATATCAAAACAGCACTACTGATAATTTTTTAAAAGGCCTCTAGTGCTTTAAGTTTGTTTATATAAATATAAAAATACTTTGTATTAATGTTTGTTTCAGAAATTAAAAAAATATTTTTAATAATAAATATTTTGAGAAAAAAAGAATTTCTTTTGTTTATTGGTTTGACTATCTTTTATTTTATATTGGTTAAAAATCATATTTTAAGTTTATATATATATATATATATATATATATATATATATATATATATATATATATATATATATATATATATATATATATATATATATATATATATATATATATATATATATATATATATATATATTTGCGGTCGCACTCCACGCTTAAAGTAATTTTTTCAGACAACTTGACCACATTTTTATATAGTAAGCGTTTAAATTTGCGGCAAAATAAAGCTATAAAAAACTAGAGAATAAAACAGCAATACTCAAAGAAAAAAACCGAAGACTATACGAAATAGAAAATCTAAATAAAACAAACTTAAAAAGATTTAATAATAAAAAATAAAAATTGTTGTCAAAAAAGTAGTATACCGTAAACTGAGGTTACTTTGAATACCAGGGTAACTTTGAATACAAATCTTTTTTTTTCAAGTTGTAATTATGACAAGAATTTACATGAAACTATTCAAACCTAAAATATCAAAGTATTAAAAATAGTTTATATTTTGATTATTTAAAGTTTTACTTTGTTTATTGGTTGTTATTGTTTCTTTAAAAATGATTTAAATATTGCAGATATTTTTCTCAAAAAAGTTTGTCAGAATACTTTGTTCACTGCCTCAGCTAGTGTAGCAGTTTTTTGTCTAAGTAATTCGTCTTTTCTAATTAAACACCATTTATTGTTGTTTTTGCTGAGACTTATTAATTTTAACTTTATTTCGCAATGCGATTTATGTATTGAGAAAGTTAATGTTAATTATAAAATTGATCTTGCAATAAATGCAAAATATGAAATTTTCGAGCTTGTGTTTACAATTTTCAAAACCTTTTTTTATTTTTCTATTTTTAAAACATTTCTTTTGATCACACAATTTATTACATGATGGTGTAAGGGTTTGTCCATAAAGGTAGTCAAATAGAATTTGAATAATAAATAGAAGTAGAAGATCATTAGCTCTCTTACGCGGAAATTTTCATTGAACATAAATCACTATATTACTATAAAAATCGCCCTTTAATGCCCACCAGTGAAAAAAATGTATATTCAAAAGAATACTCTTAACATGAAAGTGGAAACAATATATAAGATAAGTAAATCAAATTGGTTATTCTTAATAATAATTAAATAATACGCACTGATTACACTGGTCAACAAAATGGAACTTTTTGTTCTCATCATGAATAAAAATATTTTTTTCTGGATAAACTTTTCACTCTGATTCTAAATATCTATTTAGTTTTTCTCTATCACGTACACATTTTGAGATAAGAGCCCCTCTTGTTTTGCAAATCTCAGGGAAATTAAGACATTTGCCTTAAGTTGTGTTGTATGAATTTGCAGCTCTTACCCTATTACTATCTTCAGGCCCGGTTTTAACAGTTTTCTATGTGTAGGCGAGATGCAAATTTGCCGCCGCAAAAATTAAAAATGCAATAATTTCCAATTTGAAGGAAAATAGAAAAACACTGAAAATCAAACTTTAATATAGAAAATAAAAAAAATCAATTTATACAAAAATAAAAAACAAAACAAATTCCATTCATTAAAAAAATAAAAAACAAATCGTAATTAAAAGTGAATTTTCCTAGCTTTTAATTCTGCGAAATCTTTAACCAAATCTTCTATGTCCAAATGATCAGCAATTTCTTTCTCGATGGAAATCGTAGCTAGACCAACTAAACGATCTTGACACATTTGTGATCTCAAATAGGATTTTATTATTTTCAGCTTTGAAAAGCTTCTTTCAGCACTAGCAACTGTGACTGGTAACGCTAGTAGTATGCGAAGAGCTATCGAAAGTTTTGGGAATACTTCGACAACATTAGATGTGTAAATACATTTTAATACACTTTTTGGATTGCTATTGGAAGTATCAAGTCGTCTCCCAATAGCTTTAATTTCATACCAAAGTTCGACCCCGTTGATATCAGATTGGCCATCAGACATAAGCGCTAAATGCAAGTCCTTACAGTGTTTCAATAACTCATCATCCGTTAAGGGTTTGCTGCCGATATTGTAAAGAAACCCAAATAACTTGTTATATTCCGATAATTGCGTAAATCTTTCATTTATTGCTTGAATTGCGATGTCCAATATTCGATTGAAAAAAGATACTCTGAAGTTTTGTTCTGGTGATACTATCGGTTCATCACGACCTTCGTATAGGAATTGTCTACTCTTTCTGCGTACGCGTACGGGATCATCCACATCAAATCCTTCAAAAATTTCTAGTTCAACTGCCAATTTTTTTGCATTTTCAACCATTGCGGCAAATTCTTCATCACAGCGATAATCGCATAGAAAAGATTTGGTAGCGTTTAAATGCTCTAGAGCAAGCGACAAGTCTAAAGCCTGTGATTGGAGCATTTTGCTGACAATATTAATTTGGAATAAAATGTCATATTACAATACCAAGGAGCAAACAAATTTGAAATTTGAAATATTTCTGGCTATTCCCTTAGCCTCTGCGCGACTCTTGACTTGTGATGCAGTACTTAATGTATTGTCTTCTGCGATTTCAATTAGTGCATCGTAAACTCCACTAATCTGAAATCGAAATGCCCGTACGGCACCGACCCTGCTTTCCCAACGAGTGGCACTTAACGGTTTTGTAGTCAGATCGCTTAGGTGGTTTAATAATATACTCCAACGGTGAGTTGATGCTGAGAAAAAGTTATAAATGCCTTGAATTAAATTAAAGAATGCGACAGCCTCCATACAACAATTAGCTGCATCGTTCAATACCAAGTTGAGCGAGTGGGCACTACAAGGAACGAAAAAAGCTCGAGGATTTAGTTGACGAATTCTGGCTTGCACACCATTATATTTTCCGCGCATGTTGGCTCCATTATCGTACCCTTGTCCCCTCATGTCATCAAGATTTACGCCTAATTCCTGCAACTTATCGATAACAACGTTTGTCATATTTGCTCCCGTTGTGTCTTGTAATTCAAGAAAAGTTACGAAATGTTCAGAAACTACGACTTCAGCTGGTTTTTCCGAAGATAATTCAGTTGCACTGACAAACCTAAAAACAACTGTCATCTGCTCCATGTGGCTTATATCGGGGGTACAGTCTAAAATAAGTGAGTAGTACTTTGCTCGCTCTAGTTTTGCTAAGATGTCATTTTTGATTTTATTAGCAAGCAATTCAACGATTTCATTTTGAATAGTTTTTCCGAGATAGGTGGTGTGAATTTCACTTGTTGTTATTCGTTGAATATGTTTACTCATATTAGGATCATAATTTCCTAAGAATTCAATAAATTTAAGAAAATTTCCGTTATTCGGTTCGAAAAGCTTTTCACATGTTCCTCTTAATGCTAGATTTTGTCCAGCAAGAGTTCTAATTAACGTTATTATTCTTGCAAGAACTTGTCGCCAATGTTGAGTTTCAGATTGAATTATTTTCTGATTAATGTGATCAATCGTAGCCCCTGATTTAAGTCTCACCTCCAGATCTCTCCAATTTAGATATGCAGTAGTGTGGCCACTTGATGTTTCATGTCGTTTAATAATAACAGAAATATTTTTCCAATCTCGGCAGCCGTCATGTGATGACAGGGAGAATTTATTCGGACTAAATATCTTACAGCAAAAGCAAAATTCAGTGTCTTTCGTAATGGAGTACACCAACCAAGTGCGTTTAATTTTATCGCCATTAGACATTCGGCGATAAAAATGAAAGCTTGAAAATTTTCTACCTTGTTCATCTTCGGGAAATAAAGACGGCAATTTTTGAATTGGACCATACTTCATCAGCAATGCTTTAAATTTACCATCTATTACAGGCCATTTTGCCGGATCATTAAAATTAAGAGGCAAATCTTTATTGGTTTTGGGGTCTTCACCACTTTGATCTTCATTGTTTTCATTTTGTCCTATATCATCGACGTTCTGTACAACAACTTCACTTAAATTGGAGATAAATTCCACTTCATCAACATTTTCTGGTTCTTTAGCAGTATCATCATTTCCAGAATTTCTATATTCATTAACACTAACACTATCCGCATATTCTATTTCTACACCGCTTTCGATTTCAATTTCAACTTCATTTTGGTTTGAAGTTGAAGCTACTATAGGTGCCAGTGCTTTTTCGCTTGATGACCTGCTCAAAAAGTGCAACAAAGCATTCTTCTGCTTGGCAGAATTTGCTTCACGTTGAAGCCTAATTTTCTTGTATTGTGACCCAGACAAGCGCTGTCTCTTACCACGGTCCATTATATTGTATCGTTTAAAGAATTTAAACTTAAAAAAAATATAGCATTGATACATATACCTAAATTTTTATATTTAATGATAATAATAATAATAATAATAATAAGTTTATTCAAATACATGAAAAAGAAAACGAAAAAACTAACTTTAACTACTTACTTATAAAAATTATTGTTAGACAAATATTAATCAATTTATAAAAGGGTATAATAATTTTTTTTTTTTTTCAAAGTTAAAGTTCGTTTAATAATACACTTTTATAACAATTTACAATAGATATCTCAAAGATAACTTCAATAAAATTTTTTAAAAAGTTTCTTAGGAATATTCTGGAACTTTAATTTGCTTAGTCAGCGTATTTTATGAACCAATAGAATTCGTTTGTTTGTATATTTGGCGGTTTGCTAACATCCATCCCTGAAAAAATAAAAAGAAATTTTTTTTTACTGTTTCTTCTTCGCCAAATCCCAAATGTAAAACATGTATACAAACAAACACTTTTATTACTATATTATTTATTTGAAAAAATTAGTATGTATTAAAGTTCCCGTAAAAAAAAAAAAATAATTTCTTGTTACAAAAAAAAAATTTAAATTTTTTTTTTTTTTGGGAAAACACAAAATAAATTAAGAAAAGTGCCGCTCTAGAAAAGTGCCGCCGTCGGCTGTCGCCGACGTCGCCTACGCTTAAAACCGGGCCTGACTATCTTAGATCCGTACAATTGTCAACAATTTAAGTCAGTATTAACATATACAATGTTTTATTCATTACAATTATCACAACATTTGCTCAAAATCGCCGTGAATATGACTTTCTTTTAAAGACTTTGTCTGGGTTGTCACGATAAAGCATCCAGCAGTAATCACCCATCATGCTTTCATTCCAAAACCCTTGATAGCAATTTTCCATCAGTTGAATATCTCAAACCCAAGTAAAGGCTTGCCAAGCTTCCTTTTCTTCATCTGTGAGAGAATTTTTGAAATTAATATCTCGTAAAACCTCTCTAATTTAAGGTCCGACAAAAATTCCTTCTTTCAACTTTGCTGCACTCATTTTTGGAAATTTTTCCACCAAGTATTGAAATCCAGCTGAATTGGATTTTTACAAAGTTCTTCATCAAGCCAAGTTTGATATGTAGAGGAGGTAAAAAAATCTTTTGTGGATCGACCAAAGGAATATTTTCAACACTATTTCTTCCTGGCTCATACTCATTCCTTTGGTCCCAATCTCGTTTCACGTAATGTTCTGTTACAGCGCGGCTGTCCCACAAACACAAGAAACAGCAGAATTTTGTGAAACCCATTTGCATGCCCATCAGCATGCCAATGACTTCTAGATCACCACAGATATTCCATTGATGAGTTTTGTAGTTGATTGCCTCAAGGAGAATTTTTATGTTTTCATGCGTCTCACTCAGATGAACAGAATGAGCAATTGGTATGCAAGGCTTTTGATTTCCCTTATGCAACAACACAGCTTTCAAGCTTCGCTTTGACGAATCGATGAACAAACGCCATTCAGAAGGTTCATGCGGCTGTGATAAACTTTCAAACAGTCCACTGATGTCATTGCAATAGCACAATGGGCCATCAACAGTAAAAAATGTAGCTAACTGAAGATTACGCTTTCGATAGTGGCACACTTTAACGTTTGTTGTAAGCAAATTTTTTTGTTCAAGTCGTGACCCCAAAAGTTCTGCTTTTTCCTTTGATAAGGTTAAGTCTCGGACCAAATCATTTAGTTCTTCTTGAGTGAATACTTCTGGCGTTTTTTTCGACATCAGGTGAATAGTCAAGATCGGCAGTATCTTAATGTTCATCACAAGAGTCCAATTCCATCTCATCTTCGACAGAATCTAATCCATCTATTGGAGGCATTGAAACTGGTAATAAGGGGTCATGTGGAACTGACCTCATTACCGAATCCAAATCTGGATAAACGATTTTGTGCCTATTTTTCGATGAAAATCCAGTTGTATTAACAATGCAAAAATAACAATCAGTTACATGATCCTTTGGCTCCCTCCATACCATGGGTATGGCAAATGAAAATGCAGTTTTCCGTTTGTGAAGCCAGTCACGCAAATAATATGTGGAGCCCATGTTTTATCTTGATCACCTTACGGACATCCAAAGTACAATTTGTAGATTTTTGACAAGTAATTTTATCGCTGTAATTTTACGCCGCTGACCAGACACTGTAAATAAGCCGCATACATAACAAAAGGTGTCAGGCTGATTCTTGTATTTTCTTGGCATCTTGATAAATTATTTTATAAAGATTAAATCAAACCTGAAATGAGGAATAATATCATTAGTAATTGCCACTAATCTCAAAACATAAGGCATGTCATCTCAAAAACTAGACGTGCTACAAAAAAACTGAGCACAGATTTGAAATCTGCACAAAAAACTGTATCTGGGCCACCCAAAATCTTGTCTGATGAAAAATTGTTGTTGACCAGTGTTATTTCATAATATAAAAATATATAATTCTGAATATATCTATGGAAATCGGGATTTTGTTTTATTTTTGGCGCTGTGCAATCAATGTATGCAGCGCTAAAGTGGAGTAGAAAAGAAAGAATAAAAGAAAAGGACCCCATACATTTCAGAAACACATTTTAATTTCGGGGGGTATAAAAAGAAAATTTAAATTTATTGACAAATTCACAATTTTGTCATAACGCTGTATCAAATTTATTTCTAGTTAACACCCTATATATATATATATATATATATATATATATATATATATATATATATATATATATATATATATATATATATATATATATATATATATATATATATATATATATATATATATATATATATATATATATATATATGTTGCACCCAAACTGGACCATTTTCCTTTCAAGCTGTTTTTCTGGTATTCCATACATCTCGATATCACCTTTTTAGTTTCGCTAATGTATATCGAACCACATGAATATTTTAGCTGGTATACGCCAGGGTCTGTGTTTAGTGGTAGTTTAGTTTTATTGTTGCAAAAAATATTTTTTAAATTGGGAGTTGATGTGAAAATAACCTTTATGTTTTGCTTTCGAAATTTTTTACGAAGTTTTGGACCAACAATTGGTATCCAAGGTAGTTTTATAAAGGGTTGAATATCTAATGGTTGAAATGTGGTGTTTTTTAAACCTATTTTTAAATAGTCTATAATAATATTATTTAGAATGTTCTTGTCGTGGCCATTTTCAACAAAGATGTCTATTAGAAAATCAATATCTTTTTGAAGGTGTTTTTGAGAGAATATTCTTTTAGCACGACATAAAAATCCTTTGAAAACGTCAATAATAATGTTAAGATTAATGTTCGAGTTCGGTTTAAGTTAAACATTTGTAATAGCTTCTTTTCTATGCATTTGAAATTCATAAGCTCCAGAGCCTGTGTTTGTAATATTAATATCTAGGAAATTGAGTTGTTTGAGGTCGTTTTCAAGTTCCACTGTGTATTTTATGGCAGGGTGTTGTTCATTAAAGATGTTCAGGAACATTAGTTGTTGTTTTATTGAAGCAAAGCAAGCGTGACAATCATCTACATATCTCTTGTAAGTTTTTGGTTCGGATGTATGAATAATTGCTATGTTAAGGGCTTTTCTTTCTATATTTTATAAAAACGTTTCCGCCATAACAATCATTAAAGATAAACCTATAGGACCTGAATTAGATATTATTCGGATATTGCTTTCATATAAAAAATAGCATATACTTAATGAAAGTTCAAGTTATTGATGTATGTCTGCAAAAGTAAGTTTAGTTTGAGTTTTTCAGTCATCAATGTCAGCGTTCAATATATCAATAATAACCGGAGTTGCTTCGTCAATGGGTATGGATGGATACAGTGGCGGATTAAGACTTCTTGGGGCCCGGGGCTATTTTTGTTTTTGGAGGCCTTTTTATGGGCCAGAGCCTAAAAATTAATTTAAAAAAAAAAAAGGTCCTTTAAAATTTTTAGGGGGCCCTTGAATTTGCGTGGCCCGGGGCTGTAGTCCCCCTAGCCCCCCCCCAGCCGTTTATTGAATTCTAACCATGTATATATTTACACACACACACACACACACACGCACACACACACACACACACACACACACACACACACACACACACACACATATATATATATATATATATATATATATATATATATATATATATATATATATATATATATATATATATATATATATATATATATATATATATATATACATATATACATATTTGCTCATGGGCGCCCCCAAGATTTTTTGATGTTACAGATAGGACACTTTCAAACATTGTGCAAACTCTAAACTTAAGTATGTTCATACCTATGCCAAACGAGGAGGCCTTGCAAAAATTTAGGATAGCGGAGGCCTGGAAACAAAAAAAAAAACCTAAAATACTAGCCCCCTGCCCAAACGTGAGGGCACTGATCTAGTAAAATTTTCTACTTCACTATTTTAAACTAAATTTAAATTTATTGACAGATTTAAAATTTCGTAGAAAAATATTGCAAATTACAGAAGTTATGAACATGCAAATTTTTCGATTCTACCAAAATGAGTGGAATGTAATTTGTTTGTAATAATATTGAGCAATGATTTTTTGTAGCTTAATCGGAAAACTTTATTCAGTAGTAACAATTATTGGTTATATAAGAAATTAAGAAAATGACTGTACCTTAGGTAAAAAACACAAAAATATTGATTTCATCTAATAAAGAATGGCAAGAATAAATATTGGCAAGCCTAAATCTTGATTAAAGAATTAAAGAGATGTAAGATGCACTTATAAAGTATGACTCCCCAATTAGCAGGTCATTAATGGGCCAGAGCTGGCGAGCCAGGTCCGGCAAAAAAACGTGTGATCCCCCAGCTAGCACGCTTACGTTGGCCAACGTCGGAACAACGTAGGAAGCGTTGTTTAAATTACGCGCTAACATCGAACGATCGTCAGGCCAACGTCGGACTACAACTGATTTAGAAATGCCTGC